TCTGTTTCTTTGTTCCTGATTTGCTTATTTTAAGAATTACTTTTACTTTCTCCCATTACTTTAGAATCTCCAGCTAGTTGAAACATAGATTATATATATATATATATATATATATATATATATATATATATATATATATATATATGTCTATTTTAGAATCTTTTGAAATCTGCTTTTATAAAGCCTGCCCCCGAATCTGATATACTCATTATGTTCTTATTGATAATTACCAACCCCAACGTGAGATCATTTCTTTCTTCTCAGTTTCCTGTTTCTCCGAGTTCCCCCTCCCTGCACCGTGTCCTTCTTTGTAGGTTAGAATTCAATCCAGACCAGCAGTTTTCGGCACTGCTTCCTTTACTTGCTGGAAGATGAAAGCACCAGATCTTCCTCTGGGCTAATGATTTGCATACTTTAGATTTTTTTTTAATGGAAGAAATAAAAAAAAAATCCCGGGCCCTGCTCAGCAGAGCGGACCCTAGCAGGGACAGGGACAGGCGAACGTGCTGGAACAGCGCTCCGGCTCTGAAGGTTAGTCTGAAGGGGACGTTGTGCGTGCCACTGGGAGAGGAAGGCTGTCTCTCCGCAAGCCCAGAAACTCCTCTGGGACAGTCATGCTGTCCCTTTTCACAGTCACAGGGGCAGCTGCCGTGTTACCAGAGTTACACTGTTCAGTTAGCAGTTGTTCAGATCCAACTGCAACCAGGATTCTGGGGTCCGAGAATAAGCCGTTCGTAAATAAACACATCATAGGGGAGGATGGATAAGGACACCACGAAACTGGGTGTGAGATGGAAAAGGAGCTCCATTAACTGAGCTGGAATTCACCAATTACGGAAAAACACAGGGAGTCCTTGGGTGTAGTGTTGTCAAAGTGATAATGTCTTAATGATGGAAAGTGATTGCCTTGGTTTTCGGGCGAATGAGAAGAAGAAAAGTTCACCGTGTTAGCTAAGAAATTGTTGGAATAGTCCACGTGTACTGTTTTGAAAGCCTGGGCTACAATCATTAATAGAAAATGGAATATGAGGAAATAAAAAAATATTTCAAACAAAATAATTACAAGGTGAAATTCTTCATCAAGCTATGTCAAAATGTATAATTAAAAACTCAATCTAAAGAAAAAATTGACTGTGGATTTTATAATCAATTTCTCAAGGCAGGATTCACTCTTTAATAATTTCTTTAGCATCTATTATGTGCTTGGTACTGTGTAGGTGTTTAGAATTTAAAAATTAATAAACTTTCAATCATACCCTTAGAGTTCAAAGTCTAGTGAAGAAATCAGCCAAATACATAATGACAATGCAGTTTTGCAAACGCAAGAGCAAACTTCTGTAAGAATATGGGAGAACATGGTTTATTCTTCAGTGACATATTGAGGAATATTTCCCAGAATAGGGGGCATGTGAACTGTATTCTCTTTATTTTTATTGTTGAGATTATTACAGATGTTCCCCCACTCCCCATTCCCTCTTCCGCCCACTGCCCCCAGCCCCTGAGGCCTGTGCACACATGCACGTATGTCCTTTGGCTAATCTCTTCCAGTTCTCCCACCCCCCTCCCTTCTGAGATCTGTCAATCTGTTCCATATATCCATGCCTCTGGTTTTATTTTGTCAGACTATGTTTTTCATTAGACTTTACATATGAGTGAGATCATATAGTATTTGTCTCTCTCTGACTGACTTATTTCACTTAGTATAGTGTTCTCCAGGTCCACCCATGCTGTTGCATAGCGTATGAGTTCCTTTTTTTTTTCTTTACAGCCATGTGGTATTCCATTGTATACATGTACCATATATTTTTTTATCCACCCATCTACTGGTGGGCATTTGGGCTGTTTCCAGATCTTGGCTATTGTAAACAATGCTGCTATGAACATAGGGGTGTATATAGTCTTTCTGATTGGTGTTTAGGGATCCTTAGGATATATTCCCAGAAGTGGGATCTCTTGGTCAAACAGCAGTTCCATTTTCAGTTTTGTTTTTTTTTTTTTTGAAGAAACTCCAGACTGTTTTCCACAGTGGCTGCACCAGTCTGCATTCCTACCAGTAGTACATGAGTGAGCTACCACCTCACACCTGTCCGAATGGCCATCATCAATAAATCAACAAACAACAAGTGCCACAGAGGATGTGGAGAAAAGAGAACCCTCGTGCATTGTGGGCGGGAATGTGAACTATGTTTTGAACTAAGACTACACAAGGCAGAAAAAAGAAGATATTCTAGGAAGAGGGCAGAGCAGGCGCAAATGCTCAAAGATAGACCAGGACAGGTTAGCATGCAAGCATTTGTGGAGTGCTTAGGAGCTTGGAATTCAGCATCACAGTGTGACCTTATTCGGACAATGGGCTATGTTTCAGAAGGACATGGGTCACTTTTGAGAAGAAGACTTTAAAAGCCAGTCCTTGATTCAACATTCTTCTCCCTGTTCCCTGAGGACCTGTGGTACAGTAAAAGTTAGCTAGTGGAAGTCCCAGAGCTTGAGTCTCTGGCTATGGAGCTATTACTCTTCAGCTCTCAAGCTATTATTCTTCAACGAGATATGTTTGAGCACAGTGTTCAGAGATGCCAAGATGGACATATAAAATGAGTGAAAAATAAACTTTTACTGTTTTAAGCCCTTGAAATTTGGGGGGATTGCTTCTTACCATAGCCTAACTCAGATCTTCTGGACTCATACACAAAATGGAAATTTGGGGTACCAATGAGGACAAAACTCGGAATTATATGGCGGTGGCTACTGTTCAAGCAGTGAGTGGCAAACAAGCTATCACTCTTCAGCAAGAGGGGCAATGAAAAGCTAACGCAGCAGGGAATACTTTAGTAGAATTATCTCTGAAGCTGCAGTAACTTGGGCAGCAGACTATGCCCACCACACATTTGTAGCCCTATGGAAAGAGATGAGAAACTATTAAGTGTGTGCATGCTGGTTCCTGTTGGCCTCAAGGGGCAAGGTATATTACGAGAGACAGATGAGCCCAGGACACAGCTGGCAAGGGTACCATCACATAAAAGGGAATTCAGGGAGTCCATAAATTAAAGAATGTTTAGGGTTCAAAGTAACAACTGTTTTTAATTCCTTAACAGTGAAAGATAAAACTTTCAAAAATCATAGAACCACAAAAATCCAAAAAAGTTCTCTTTCCTACAAAGGTGAGGTTTAGGGGTGGCTGTTATGTCAGTTATTAAAATCACAAAGAATGAAGGGGTCCCAGATTCAAGATCTCACTTGTGGTGTCCACTTACTTTGTTGGATTGTACAAACTGCTTCAGAAAAATGTGTGACCCCCTAAAGCTTGAGGGGCTCAACATAGTTACAATGAGGTAGAGAGAAAGGCATGGGGGTGACAAAGTCAAGGAATTAAGTATCAAAATACAATGGGTATGGCCATTAGAAGATGGAGTTCCCAAGGGAAGAGATTAAGAGCCAACAAACTTTCCGAGGAAGTGGTACTGCCTGAAGGACCATCGACCTGGATTGGAAGGGACAGACAGAAACTTGGCGTGGCCCATGGACCTTCAGTTGTCCGTGGGCAAGACAAGAGCTGAGGGGGCTGCCCGCCCAGTCATCGGGGAGAGTGTGTTCTTTGGGCCTCACTTCAGATGTGAAGGAAAACAAGGGAAGGAGAAGACTCTCCCAAGGGGCTGAACCTGGGATCACAGAGAACAGACGACAAGGAGCTGCTCCCAGGAGGTGAAACCGGTGTTTTAACCCAAGTCGGTCCTCAAAGTATGTAACTATGCAGAATGCGACAGCCAGCCCCGTGACTGTGCGGTGTCTTCGTTGTGTTGCACAGCCCGGCCCGGGGTGTGTGAGGAACATAACTGGCCTGCACTCCCACACTATTGCAAACCTCCTCCCTCTGTGGGCACTTCTGGTCCTTCCTCTCACCGAGGGGGCCAGCACTTTGCGTACGATACCGGGACTGAATGGCACTTTTGGGCTGACTCACTTGAAAATAAAAGGAGCATATTTCGCACGTCAGATGTAAAGTAAGTGTTTAAGAATCAGAGGGGTTCTTAATGCTCTTCTTCATAATGTCCAGGTCTCCTTCCTCCTCGCACAAAATATGATCATATCGCTCCACCTCTTTGAGGTTAGGAGTTCCCACGTGACTTGCTGTGGCCATTAGGATGTGAGCAATAGTGATGTGTGTCACTTGGGGGCAGAAATGTCTAACAGTGAGCGTGTGACTCGCCATGCCACTGCCACCTGTAGTGTTTTCGATTGTCCGGGTTGGGGAGGGCTGGGCCCCCGAGAGAGGACCATGCAGAGCAGAGCCTTCTGCTGACTCCGCATGGGAGTGTGGCATAAGGGAGAAGTAGACTTTCCTCATTTTAATCCCCTGCAGTTTGGGGGATGTCAGTTATGAAATTTTAATAACAACCCATCATGACTTGTGCATATGCTAAGATGTACTTCATGAGGTGTAGGCATCAGGCATTAGAAATTACATTAATGGAAAAGTGAAAAATAGCAAAAGGAGAATATTGAATTTACAGACATCACCTACCCTGGGTCCTAATCATCTCTAGAGTGGGGCTTCAATTAAAACATTCAGAGAATCCTCATAATAGGCATTATCAGAATAATGACCTATTTATAGAATACTTTTGAAGTCTCAAATATTTATAAACCTGAGCATTTTATAATATTTGAGATTCTTTAAAATCACTCTCATGTAAAAGAGTATCATTAAGGTAACAATAATATTTTAATTGCTTCTTAATAAAGAAAATTAGTAAATTTCGAAAGCCTTAAATCTGTGGCTAATCTGATTAAACATAATTAACTATGTACACAAGAACAATCTGCCAGTTTATCTGCAATATTATGTGATCTGTTTAACTCTTAGAGATCATTAGTAATGTTCCTCCTGATATTGATCGGAAACATAATTTAGATTCTGAGTACAAACCGGAACACTGTTGCAGCGGAAATCAGGCTGTTCCCTGGGATTGTGAGGGAAGCGTTCCAAGGACCCGCTCAGGGGATACAGTAGTGTGGTAAGATGGTTTATTGATGTGGAAATCTTCCCCTGGGTTTCCAAGATCCTATCTCCTGCCACCCTTCCATGGAAAAAGTCCAACCACGTCCTCAGTGAGGCCAAAACCTAAAAGCCAAGGTCCAGAGTTTCTGTTTCATATTAAAGCTCAGTCCTTTGGAGCCCACGCCATCTGCTGCAGGCCCTGGTAGCTGCTAGACACACATGGTCTCATTCTCCCTGGTGAGAGACAGAGAGAGAATAAATGAACAAGTGTGGGTCATGAGCAAGGGGCGGGGGGAGAGAGAGAGAGCTTCTTTATTCCTCTTGTATTATACTAGTCTGTGTTTGAGAGGTCCAGGTGAATTTTCAAAAGAACAAATCAACTTCCCAAACTTCCACAGGCTTTTCAGTGGGTCCATACCCAGGCCAATCCATGGTTCCCCAGACTAGCTTGACAGGTCTCTATGGTCAAGCACCTCCCCCTTGTGCCATTTTGACTTCTGTTGCCCATGTGCCTGTCTGTCCCTGCTCCCCTTGGCAATCCAGTACTGGTGGGGAGAAGTCAAGGGTGTTAATCTCCTTGGAGGAGCAATGCTGTAACCCCCTGGGGTACAACATTGTAGCTTCCTAGTGAAGCAAACAGGCTCATGCTACCTAGTTTATTACACTCAACGTTTAATTCTCTTTGTGCCCCTTCTTGTTAATAAGTAGCCAACTACCAATAGCAACAGCACGACTTGTAAAATTGCATTTTACAGATTTTGTGTCCTATTGCTCAGTAAATTCTCTATAAAAGCAGGCTTCTGTGTCTAAGATTTGGCACTTACCTGTGAAGGAAGGCAAAAATTTTGTGGAGTTTTGGGAAGAAATACCCTGACCATTGCTCTGGAGAACTGCTTTATAAATTGAGTGCTTTAATATGAAACCATGGGTATTTAGAATTATATCCATATAGCATTTTTCTGTTCTTTCTTACCAGACAGAAATTCCTTCTCCATGGGAGAATTGATAATGGGATATTGACAAATGTGGACATAATAATGAAGATCCCTTAGAGTGCGTTTTGTTTTGTTTTTGTCAGGGGATAATCATTGGCTTGTTTTCTTGAAAAATGGATCAAAGCAGTTCAGATCCATGTTTCTTTTCAGCTTCTTTAGATGCTGGGATATCTAGGGGGCTCAGGGAACTTCTGTTTATCTTCCAACCTTGCCATTTTAAGTGAGAAATGCTTTAAAAATGCTTATTTATGACAGTGCTCAAAAGCCGCACTCTCTGGTGTGCATTATCTTGTGTGCATTTTTGTTGTATTGCTAATGCACTTTTCAAACTCCCAAATTACCTTGGAATATGTTTTTCTTGATTCCCTTTCTCATAAATGAGCACTAGAATGCTAACAACATAAGTAAGAGTCCAGCATGAGAGTTTCAACAGTCACAACCCAGATGAAGCTATATGCAGGAGGAAACTGAAATGGTGTGTGTGTGTGTGTGTGTGTGTGTGTGTGTGTGTGTGAGGGGGGTACAGTGTTTTCACTTTCAGCCAGAAGAGAGGACAGATGATATCTACTGAGGAAACCAACAGAGGAACTCTGAGAACATGGCCCCACCAAGACTTACACTGTGTCAGTGTGGAGAACTGGCCTCCTATTTGTTCTAAGGGTAGTGTAATGTTAAGTTTAGAGCTAAAATATTTAAAATTATACATAACATGTACACCTGTTTGGCACATAGTAAGCATTCAATAGATATTATCTATGCACAGCAATTATGCTAGCACACATTTTGCCTATGTCAATACACCAAACAATAATGGGGCTTTGGGACACTGCCACTTAACTGCCTTTCCACCCCTCTCTCCTTGAAACATGGACACACCACAGACACATTCATGGACAGAGTGACTGGGACCAAGTGCTTGATCATTCAGTGAGTTCAGTCCTTGATGCATTGTACATGTAACTGGAACAGGAGAGAGTTCTCAAATACGAAACAAGTGAAAAGAAAGGTCCAGGGGACTGTGATACAGGAGAAAAGGTGGTCTCTATCTTAGCAGTCACAGAGGCATGTCCCTGTGGGGCACAGTTTAAGGTTCAAGGTTAGGAAGGACCACAGCTAAGGCTGATCACAGGATGTTAGAGACAATCAGCCTGAAGCTGGCTACTGTTGAGTATCAGAAACATGATCAGCACAAAATAAAGGATAACAGGGACTGGTCAGACTCTGACATGTTCTAGGACAGTGGAGAAGGAGACACATGCAAAGTCAGTTTAAATTCAGGAAGATAAACTGTTGGGTTTATATAATAAATATGGTTTCATTCTAGGGGGACAAGTAGAACCAAGATAGTGCCAGGAGCCTGATAGCACCCAAAATGAGAAGAATCTACAGAGGGCTAAGGAGGTGTTAAGTCTTGGAAGAGAAATTAAATATAACACCCGGTATCACAGACACCTGTACTTTATCTAGCCATAAGTGTTTGCTATTGCAGTTGGTTTTTTCCCTTTTATTTCCATGACTTTTAGTGAGTCAGGCTTCTAAACCTTCAGAATAATGATAGAAATGATAGTTATGTCAGGAGAAAGCAAAGCTTTTCCACGCCCCTCCCAAATCCCATCCAAACTCTTACTCTGCCTCCTAACTTTCCACTATGTCCTTTTTTGGGCCAGTGTATGGTACAGCAAAACTCAGATGCAAATTTACTTACCACAGTCTTCAAATTGACATGTCATTGAGTACCGATGCCTTTTATGGGGCCAGGACCAAAGATGCTATGATGATATGCTCTTGTGATAATTTCTGGACACAATGCTTATATTTTAATAAGAATTCCGGGGGACAATGCCTTCCTCAGTGAAATGGATCCAATGGTAGATGTTATATATCTTGGGGCACTTATTTCTTTTCATGTGCCTTAAGTTTCAACATGCCGCCACCTACCTATTCTACCCATGTATAGGTACAGCCATGGCCATGGGAGTCCTTGTCCTTAAGTTTCAAAATCGATCCTCCAAACTCGCTCTGGACATTGATCTCCCAGGGGATCTGAGCCAGGGCTTTGCACAGGTCTCCTGGATGCTGCTGTGCAGTGCAGCCTGTGCACTCCCACCCTGGTCTTCTGCTCTTGATCTCCACACCTGCGCCCTTCCGGTGTCAAAGGATTTCTTGAGAACGCGGGCCATGTAAGTGAAGCCAACCAACATACTGATTTTAACTGACAGGTGAAAAATCAGGAAACACTCTTATAATTCTAAATTAGTATTTTAATGCCATGTAATGATTTATTTGGGCAGAGGGATAAAATTCAAATTCCTTGGCATGGAATTCCTCTATAAGGCTTTGTGAAACATTGTCCAGCTATTTTTTTCTGCATCATTCTTAGCTGTCTTCTCCCATCCAGGTGCACTCAAATTCTCACTATTCCTTAGACGTCATTGTCCCTTCACAAGTCACTCTTTGCCTTAGAAACACTAACCAATATTCTTGGAATGGACTTTTGCCTCTTATTTTCTGGAATCTTTTGATTTCTTTTCTCAATTTAAAAGTAATGTCTCCTTCTCTTTACGAGCTTTTTTTGCAAGGTCACAAGTTGCCCTGACAACTGAGCTCCCACTGCCTTTTCTCATGACTTGACTGCAGTATTTATGCGAATGTTTCACTGGTACCTATTTACATGAATGTCTACCCTGCTACCCTGGGTGCTCCTAGTGTGGAGGACCGCTATTTTATTTGGTTTTGTATCCTTAGCACCTAACATAATGTTGTCTCCCCTAGGGAAAAAAAACACACACAATAAGTGCAGTAAATGCTTGTGTCATGAATGACTAAAAATAAAAACATAAAATAGTCTTGATGTAGAAAACATCTGTCTTGACCTATGAGGTGAGGTGCTCCACAGAGCATGAGAGAGGAAAAAAAGCAATTCTGTCATAAATGCTCTATTTAAAAACTCGAAGTGTATTAAAAACTGTCAAGCTTTAGAAACAGTTCATTCTAAACACCACCTCTACTACAAATTATTACTTGAAGCAGAGTCACAGCCCCTGGACAATGATGATGAGTTCTTGAGCAACCAGGATTTTAAAGTTACATTCAAGGCACAAGTTGGGAGATGCCTAAGTAAGTGGGATCTGTTGAAGACTGAATAAAATTGGCATTTTTCTTATTTTCTGACACTAAGGTGCTGAAATACGCTGTCAGGCATCAACATGTCTGCGGATGGGAACTTGGCTCAGCAGGGTAGGAACCCCAGGTTACACTTTCATGATTACATCTTCATTACTAAACACAGATCTGTATCTAGGGCCGTTTATTGCTTGGAGTTATTTGTCATATGCTGGTGCGATGCTCCAGTGCTGTTTTCCTTGTTCAGTGTTAATAGCGGAGCTTAGTGGGAAACCACATTTGGTAAAGAGTCTAGTCTATGTCCTCAATTCCAAAGCGATGAGTGAGCACATGTGAAAGAGTTAGTTAAACCAGATGTTGTGTGCGGTGGAATTAAAAAGCCATTTCAATGCAGTACAATTTCTGAAAGATGTTTTAGGTGAATAGTACATATCAATTTATATTAACTATAACATAATATGGTTCATATCTAAGTAAAGTATTATTTTGCTATTTCTTTTATGTTCACTTTATCAATCCTGCTCTTGCCAATGCATATACATATTTTAAGCCAATTATAATGAAAAGTAGGTCAAAACTGTAAATTATGTGTAATAATTTTGGCTAACGAGTAGTTTAATCACTTCGAATTTAATTAATTAAAACATTTTGTCAAGAATAAAAGTGGGATAATATGTCCTTCCATTTCCACCCCCACCAAGTTGTTTTAAACAAAAAGACTCTTTAATCACATTTGTAATTCATGGCGATGTATTTTTAAAAATTTACAGTGGACTTATAAGACCGCATAAAGATTTCTTAGTCTTGACAAATGCCTACACTCATCTCTACCAGTTGAATTTTTTTAGAAGAGTCAACCTGAGCCAAATAGAAGCAATTGCCAGGAAGCAAAATTTCAATGGACTGAGAAAATGCCCCAGAGGATGGCAACTTTGCAGCTTATTTTACACATCAGAACCGGACGAAGAGAGGTAAAGAGATTACATGAAATCTATTGGAGATAGATTATGGAGATGGGAGAAAGCAAAGCAGGGGCATGTCTGGCGTGAGATAAAAGCAAAATGGACTGACACATACTCCTTCTGTATGGTGGGTACAGGAGAGCTAATCAGGAACCTCTACAGCACACAGACATGGTACGCAGGGGATACCAGGACAACGAAGTTTCTATGGGCTTGTGCTCCAGGGGGACTGGAGAAGGAAATCACTCTGACATTTTGCAGATACCTTATTTTAGATGCACAAGACACTAGACAATTTCAAAGATTCAAAATTGACCTTTGTCAAGGAAGCTACAGGCCAAGGACATGACTACCCACCCTGACCCACTTTGAGTTAGAAGTTTTTCCATTAAGACCACCTGTGTAGTCTGGTGTCCTAGTTTGGGAAGTGCACCATGCAGGACCCTGAGCTGGTCGTGCTGAGTCCATGGACCCTTTTTCATCCACAATCCCCCAGCCCACACCCTCTCTTGTTTTGCAATACAGCTCTGCTACATTGAGTATCTGACAGTCTGTTTTTAATTTTTTAAACTTGGTGAATGAAAGATTTTTAAATTCTCTAAAAATCTATGAGCACTTCAGAATCAAAGACACTTTTTACCTGTGCAGCCCAAGACAGAAAATAAAGGTCGCCGCCCAACAGTGAAATCAAACCAATGGGAAGGCGTGTGTTCTAGAGCAAGCGGAGAGCAGGGTCCCGTCTGAAGTCAGGCCAAGGCTCCTGCTTCCAACACAAATGCCTCCAGGGCCTAGGCAATGCAGCTGGCAGTACGGCAGCGAGCTAACATAATCTGCCTAATATATCAGGGCAGGTGAAAGGTTGCACGACTGCCTGTGCCGAGGGCTCAATTCCATTAGGTGAATGAAATTTCATCTGTTTCCTGGCTGAGATGCACAATTAAGTGTGGCAGAGAGTGCAAGCGCGTTCCTAACAATCGTTCTCTCCTTCCTTCCTCACAGAACTCTCATTTGATTATTAGTGGCAATGTACCCAGCTAAAAGACTGCATTTCCCGGACTTCCTTGCACCCAAGAGTGGGTATTAAATAACTGGGTGGAGCTTCCAGGAAAGACACCCCAAAGGGTCTATGTCAACTGGAAGCACACTCTTTTCCACTCCTTCCCCCTGCCTGCCTGGAACGCAGCTTTGATTACATGTAGGTGGAATTGAGGCTACCTGCTAAGGCTGTGATGGACAGAGATGGGAACGTGGTCCCCTGGCGGCAGGAAGCCCCGTGGAAACCCTGGATGGCCTTCTCCGCACGTGCTGCTGACCAACACACACCAGCACAGACAAACGCCCTCAGCTCAAACTCCCTGAACCACCTCTCAGGGCTTCCAAGGCAATTTCATAATTTCCCACTAAATGCCTCTTTAGGGATGATTAGCTTACTTATCTAAAATAACTAAAAGCAGCAAGGCATTTGTTTAAAAGGAAAAGGTAGCCTAGAATGCATTTTCAATCTGTTCACAAGGGAGAAGTTCTCAAAATGGTCAGTCTTGAGCGATAACAAATTACATTCCCTATTCAGGAACATGGTAGCTTTATAAGAAAATGACACCCAAGTCCTTAATTTGAGTGGTAACACTTAGACAAGATGAAGACTGCATGCAGTCTTCAAATAGAGGAAAAAGACCAAAATCGGGAAAACATCACAGAACCAGCAGAGTGTGGGAGACCGGTATACATAAGGAGAGTGTGGCAAAATCAGAATTCCACCTGCCGAGAAGATAGAGACCATGGAAAGAAATGGGAAGCTATTTTAGAAGACCAGAGAGAGAAAGTCCACCACTTGAGAGAGAAGAACACCTTAATGTTTCTCTAAATTGAAAAAGGGTTCAGAACACTGGCTGAGGGACAAACACATGAACTTGCTGTGTTATTTTCCATTACGTTTTTATTCTCATGTTACGTTGATCCTCACAGAGCAGAGACCGAGCCCCTATTGTTCATGACTCTGTCCCCCAAGCACAGGCTGACCTTTGGTGTGGTCCATGAAGGAAGACCACACTCTGGTCCTTGAAACGCAGGAATAAAACGGCACCAATTCTATTTCTCTGGTACCACCATTGACCTACTTTCCGTTTGATTATTCAGTCAGGTCATGGAGTCCACTGAATTTCAACACCAGAATATTGACATCAGAATGCTTCAAAACCTCTCCGTGAACAATTTTCAGTAGTTTATTCTCCTCCAAACAACAAAAGGTACTTCAGCAAACAAAGGCAAGTTCAATTCAACAACTCTTAATATAAATTTCTCCTTCCCGTTTCACTCTTCAGCATGAAAAGACACACTATGTGGACCAAGGTTATTGGTTCGTAGTAAGAGGAAAAACATCTCTCCTCTTATGCCAAGGTTGAGTTGTAACTGCCAATTAGAGACCAAGTACATGGAGTACTCTTCTGGGTCTCTCAATGCCTCTCGACCACTGCTTATTGCAGTGGATTGTAATAATTAGTGCCATAAGCACAAGTACCAAAATGAGGGGGTTGCTCTAGATGGTCCCTAAGGTCCCTTCCCACGTTAGCATTCTAGAAGTTGGTGAGCCTGAACCTGATAATAGTTTTCAGAATGTAACATATATACGCCTGGGGACAATTTGCACATTTGAAAGATGGGTCCATTTTATTAACTTGACTCAGAAATATAAACTTAAATGAAAAGTAAGTGCTGGTGAAACACTAATAATAATATGTGATTCTACAGCATTTTACCTTCTATGAAGGGCTAGTGTATACACGTCATGGCATTTAATTCTCAATAGCATCGTGAAGAAGTTCTTGGGCCAGGATTCACTCACACCTTTGGCAAACTTGTAGAAGATGTAGTAGTAGTGAATTCTCCGTGGTATTCTCACTCTATCAGTGATGCTCAGGAGTCTCTGTTGGGGAGCAGAGAACAGGGACCTAAGTTCATGTGAGTTTGGAAGCCCTCCTAGGGCAAGGGCCACCTCCACCTTCCTCACCCTTGTATCCTTAACATCCGACCCAATGTTTTACTAAAGTTATGCTCCAGAATGAAAAAAAAAAAAAAACATACACAGCTAGTTGTATGTCAGCCAGTGGTAAGCATCAAGAAGAAAAATTTAAAAAAGAAATCAAGAGAGAAGAAGAGGCAGAATATTTTAGACAGAGAAGGACGTCTTGAGGAGCTGCCGTGTGCTAGAGCTGAGTAAGAAGTGGTATTTGGGGACCAGTTTTCTAGACACAGGGGAGCCATGACACAAAGGCCCTGAGCTCAGACTGTGCTCAGCCTGTTTGGAGGGCAGTAAGGACTCCTGGGGCTGGAGTGGAAAGAAAGAAGCAAGGAGCCATACAAGATGAACACATAGAGGTACTGGTTGGAAGGGCAGGTTTCTCACTTAGGGTATTGATTAGGCAACGCAAGCTGTTGTTTAAATCCACTTTCATATATAACCGTGGAAATAAAATAATGAAAAAGCAAGTAAATTGGGTATTTTCCCACTTGCTTAGTTATATTCTTTTTTTTCTTGCTATAAACCCTTTCAACCCATTTTAGAGCTTTCTAAGAAAATATATCTTTTACACAAATCCCTACTACCTACTCTAAGAGTTAAGTACTCAAAAGTCTCACCTCCTTTCAAGTTTCTATTCTCTTCTCACCAATGGCTCTGAACTTCCTTTTGAAGGTAGGGTTTGAAGACCACTGAAGATGAACCGGCCTTTTGCAAAAGGTATTTCCCCGAATGCCGTTTCTGAAAAAGTCATGAAATATCCTCTTCTCAGATAAAGTTCTGAAATGCTATACATTCTATTCTTTCTCAAAACTTCACACCGCCCACGGACAATGTACAAGCTCTGAGAAGTCTTTCAGTTTATAAGACACAGACTCAGAATTCCCTAAACATATTGTACCCTGAAGCTTTTAATTTTTTTCACTGAAAATCCATGAATAATATATACTCCAGCTATCTCTGGGCCAAAGTTACTACTGCCTTCAACCTATTTTCAATGCACTCGGTCGGTGTTACATCTTCATCTGTCCATCCATCTAACTATCTATTTATTTGCTCATTTTTATAGTTGGACTAGACACTGGGTACAAAATGATAAATGAATGTTTAGTCCTTAGCTCAAGGTCCCGCAGTCTAATGGGGGAGATAGTCACATAAAGAAATAACTCAAGCTCAGTGTGATGAATGCAATGACAGGTATACGCATGGACTATTACAGGATCTCAGAGAAGAGGGTACTTAACAATGCAGACTATTATCTAAATGGCCAGACTCCCCGGACTTTCAGGTCATATAACCATGAAAGATTAAAAATATGTTCCACAACAACAACAACAACAGAGTTGTCTCTGAAATTATATTAAACGTTCACTTTATTTAGAAAACTTTTAACCCTAGAAGAATTGAGTGTTAGTACTTTTTAGGACATTACTTCTCATTAGTAATTCTACTCAAATTCAAAAGGAAAAAATACAGTGCCAGCGTACCTTTCTAGAAATTCCACAGTGAGATTCAGATGTAAATTAGAAACAGGAAGGTCAGTCGTCACTGCCTTGAGGAGGAACACAGCTGGCTCAGGAGGACACTCCAGGCTTCCCATGTGACTGGCTGTTCTTCATGCTAATTCTAAGGAGGTGGCTTATTTCAGCGTGGACCACCAACTGTGTCAGAGAATCCTCTCTCTGCCATTTGCTCTCATTATTAAATGCTTAAATCTCTGCCTTGTCGACATGTGTTTTAGTGGATAAATGCAATGTCTTTCTTTGAATTTTGATTTTGACATCATAAATAAATGTGAAGGGGGAAATGAAAATAACAATGTAACAAATATTAAGTGGAATTTTGCTAAGAAGACAGATTGCCTTTCTACTGTGAACTTAGTACATTTTTAGTCATTGTGAGATGTGTGAATTGTCTCCCACCTTATAAAAGCATAGATCTACGGTATTCTGCTACTGTTTGTTTTTTCCTCAAAATATCTTGGAACAGAGGATTGTAACATAAATATAATCTCTTTCCTCATCAAATAAAAGGAAGTGAAGGTGATATTCTAGAGACAGCTATTGGGTAATCGCTATTTCTTAAAATAGTCAGTGTCCCAAGCTTTTCTGCCTAAATCTCAGTGTACACACAGAGAAAGGTGAGGGCATTGGCATTTTGCAGTGTCTTCCAACAGAGAACATTTGTCCTTCGTGAGTCACCAGAGCTTGAGTACATACGTGAAAACATTTACAGAACACTTGGAAATACTAATATTTCAGACCAAAATCTATTAAGATAAACCTACTTTCATTTTTGTTTAACTATTCACGGTTTAAGACACAACTACAGAAGAGATTTTAGCACCCATATTTGAACAATTTAATTAAAAAATTAATTAGAGTAATATTTAATAATTGAGTAAAAATTATTTTAGAATGTTGGTTTGCCATAACCAAAACAATTTATTCAATTATCCATTTCACTTTATAGTAGATTCATAGAGGACTGGAAGTAGATAACTTGAAAAGTAGACTTTTATAATCAGTGATGAAATAAAAAGCTTATCTTAAGAAAAAACATCCCAGTCTTTAAAGCAGAACTTCTCACCCTTCCTGCCATTGACCTTTTGAGCCAGATAATTGCTTGTTTTTGGTTTGTTTGTGGGGGCTGCCCTGTGCATTGTAGGATATTTAGCAGCGCCCCTGGCCTCTACCTATGGGTGCCAATAGCAAGCCAGCCCCCTCCCTAGTTGTGGCAACCAAAACATCTCCAAATGTTATCAAATGTCCCCCGGGCAGGAGACCACACTTGGTTGACAACCAACCACTGCTTTAAAATATAGGTTAACTGTTAGAACCCATGATGACAGAAAGGAGGAGCGTGCAGGAAACTGGTGGTAATTCTCCACGTAAGGAATAAGGGAAAAATAGAACCTTTCTCGATGGTCTAGAGGCTGCACGCCGCGGGCCTCCAGCGGGTGCCATTCGCAGAGCTCAGAGGCGAACGTGCCTCCTGGAGCGGAGCAAAGCTCCGTCTCTGGAACCGGAACCCTTCTTCAGGACTAGAGCTGTGACCATGGTGAAGTGGAAAATAGAAACACTTTCCCTTTGAAGGCCAAGGATAATCATGCAAAGTTGCAGCAGTATGCATCACCTTCTGAGCTCATTCAGACAAGTGGTTGGTTGCGCACACTGGCAGCTATTTTTAGAAACGCCGGGATACGTGCAAAAGGAACGCTCTATCAAAGACAGATAACTGAATCTCGGAGCGCGTCATGGGTCGGGGCCCACTTCACATACCCTCATGAAGACTCTCATCCTCCCTGGCCAGGATTTCACCAACCTCTTGACTGATGGCATTGGTCCAACCTTCCTCCACACAGCTGTCAGAATGTTCTTTCTACAACACGGCTCTGAAATGATCCCTGCCCTGGTTGCAATGCTTTGATGTTGCCTTTGAGATAAAGTCCGAGCTCCTTAGGGGACTCTATGCTGACTTCATCTTCTCACACCCTCTTTCACACACGCCAAGCTCCGAATCCAAATGCGAATATGTCCTTTCTAGTCTCTCTACTCCCGCTCACACAGTGCTGCCCTGTCACTGTCACTTCAACACATACATCCAGCCCGTATTTTTCTATGAAAAAGTCAACAAAGAAAGCTTTTTGTGTGTGTAGCCCCTTCTCCTCACCCTTCATCCCTTCTTCTCCCTCCTCCTCCTTCTCCTCTTTCTCTCTCCTTTCTCTCTGTCCACATAGGCATCTCCTTGTGTCACTACAACTCTGATTTAACAATTTTATACCCTGCCATCTCTCCTCTGTTGTTTTCTATAACTCCACCCTCCTCCCCTACTCTTTGTTCTTCCTCCGTGTCTCTGAGCATGCCTTCTTCAGGTGATTACTCTTCTGTAAGTGCATGCACTCACAGTCTTCCAGCATCGGTACACACTCTTCTCACTCTCCAGGTGTTCCCTGAGCGACTTGATGCTTTGGTGCTGGTGACTACCACATTGGTACCCTGGGCCTCAGGCCTTCTCCTGAGCACTAGACCCCGACTACCCAGTGTCTGCAAAGCAGTTTCCCTAAATATCTTCCTTGCAACTCTAAGTCCACATGCCCTCCGCCTAGCCCTTCTTTTCCCACAGGCTTCATCTGTCTGTTCTGTTCTCTTTCTCACTGAGACGCCAACCATCCTCATCAGAAACCTGAGATTTCACCCAGAATGCTTTCTCATCATGCATGTTTCATTGGTAGCCAAATCCAGTTGACCTTATCTACTCGCATTTTGTAAAGTATATGCTTGTCTAACGGTATGCTGTATACCTGAAACTAATGCAAAATATTGGATAGTATTCAATGTAAATTATAAAAAAAATTAAATGCAAAAAAAAGATCTCTCATAGTTATTGTTGTTTTTTTTGTCACTGACCTTATTTGGCCTCTGTTGAGGGCTACATTGAGATCTTTCAAGTCTCTACCCTCCATACTCTGTGCTCTCAGGCTTGGCTGACCCAACCTATTCTTTACCTTACTGCTGACACAGCAATTCTGTCCCTGTCCCTCCTCTGTCTAAAGTCTTTAGAGGGCTCTTTATTCATTGCCTAGAAGGCATAGCTCAAATTTTTTGCCATGGTAGACCAGAAAAATGGGAACATAGTTATATATGAACTATAATCTCTACCAACACAGCTCTTATTAAATGGATATACGTAGGGTGGGGCAAAGGCCAAATACATTCAGAGCAAACAACACCCATGTAGCACATATCGCCACTAACTTCTTTTTCAGCTTCATCCATTGCCATAAAGCCTCTTTTTTGTGCACCTTACAGTCTAGCTCTGTGAACTCTTTGGAGATTCTTGAATATGCAATACTACCTCATGCTCTTGTGGCTTTTCTATCCCTGTGATATCGTTTCCTCCTCCACCCTCTCAACCCTTTTGCCTTTCTTGGAAGACACACACTTTAATGATCTGCTCACGTACGACTTCTTTCACAAAGAGGACTTGCCTAACTTGTTTCATCAAATGGGCTAGATTTTTCTCTCTTTCTTTTCTATTTACACTGTGCTCTCTAAAGACGACGCCATTGCATCTACAATTCTTATTTCAATTACATGACTTTACTTACTTCCTCACTTGCTACTTTGTTGGGGTAATTCAATTTCAGGAAAAACTTTGTACTACCGATTTCTAATAGCCACTCTAGCACCCACAGAACAGAGACATTCAAAACTATTTAAAAAAATAATGAAAAAACAGATGATTTGATGAATTATAGGAATGTACCAAACATTTTAAAGGTTATTACAACTTTTCATTTGCTGGTTCTAAAGCAATTTTCAAAGCTAATTTCTTAATATCTATAGATAAGAAACAAAATGCATGATGCATTATTTTGACAACTGTAGCAGCATAAACAATAAAACATCATAAAACTAAAAAAATAAACTAAGTGAAAAATGTATAACTCTAGTATGATACGGACATCATCTTAATACTAAGTTCTGACAGGGTTACAATATATAATGAGTGTGGCATCACTGAAAGACAAAGAGGCAATAAGGAGAAAATAAAGGAATTCTATAAAGAAAACCCCAAGGTGATGGACTTTCCCACCACTTCAAAATGTTTACTAAGGGAGGGCTAACCATGGTTGTTTTCTACTTTTCCATCACACCATAAGTCTAGTCAAAGGAATAAAGAACCTATACATCTTACCCAAACTTGTTCTCTAAAATAACCGAAACAAGCAGAAATAAGTCAAACTAACACTTTTCCTTAAGTTATACCCTTTGAGTCCTTCAAAAGAACAGAATCATACAATGAACAAAAGGCGAGGCTAATAGCGGAGACAAGGCCAGTGCCACTTAACATGTATAAATTAAAGCTGCCGTTCATTTTTCTATTGGAAGGACCACCATGAGGTTTGCTTCCAGAAAGTGCTATGCCCTCATCACAGCTCTGAAAGTAACAGACATTATAATTAAGACAGAAGACTTGACTTTAAGAAAGTCAATGTTTAGAGCTGATGATACATATTTGATACATAGTGTGATACATAATAATGGATGACACATATTTAATCATGCCCCCCAAATTCCATGCCTCAGGTTGATTGGCATCACAAGAGCCAACCACTTGGATGACTCAATTAGCTTTTATATAACTCAATAATTACCTATCATGTAGACATGACTATCAGTTAGGCGTAAAAGAACATTCTCTGACAGGTGACTAATCGGTGAAAATCACTGAGGAAGAGAATTTTAGAATTTTCATCTTGGGAGAAATCTTGAAGCCCTGGTGCGGCGGTGCCCTCAGTGACTTCTGCTCCAGCTGAGGGGGCAGGGTGCCATGGGGGTTTCCATCACGGCCAAGTCAAAGTGTTCAGTCATGGACACGGGCCTGTATTGGCAGAGTTTGCATAGCAGCGTGGTGACTGAGGCAGACGTGGTCTTCACACAGAAGGTGGGGAAAAGAGAGAGAAACAGAAGGGCATGGTCCAACTTCATCTGGGGCCAAATGCTGCAAGACTTTGGCAGAGGCATGCCAGCTTTCCTCGGCGTTTTGAGGACACGGGCGGCAAGGTCTCCCGCCCCTTCTGTACCACCATCTGCCTTAGCCGTGCCACGGGAGCCATACGTGACAGTGGTCTCTGAAAAGCTGCACTATTTTGACTTTTGATGTCTGCAATGTGATAGTATGGGGGAAATATTGCCCAAAATGTAACTGTTTGTATATTATTTAAAAAAAAAAAAACCCAGCTGGGGAATGAGATTATAATGGAAATGTCATTAATATCAATTACAAGATTAAAAGCAAAACACCACAATAACCCATCCATGAGCTGGAAATCGTTGAAATATGTGGTGTGAAGCAGAGGTGAGCAGTATATACAGGATCAACAATACTTGTGTATTGGTTAATGGAAAACAAGGTGTCTTCACCAGTAGTTGCTGATGGCTCACCTCAAATATAGGCCATGACCAGAAGCCGACAGAGGATGGTTCTTTAACCACAGTTTCAAATAAAAGTTTTCACAGAATTCAGTTGGCCTTTCAGGTATTAGCTGCTATCATGAGTTTCCATGTATATGTTATATCATTGTACTGCACTTGATTTAACCCTTAGGCTCTTTAACGTGACCGCTGTGTCTGTGGTTACAGAGAAAAAAAAATATGGCTCATATTAGTGCTCAGGGCCAGGAAATCCTGACTCCAGGGTTTGGAATAATAAGAACACTGCTATTACAAGGTTAGCATTTATAAGTGCTGAATATTCTAACCAAATGTTTGTAGCCTTCACATTCTGGCTGTCAGAGGAATGCACCTGCATTTCATTACCTGGCCCCCAGAAACTCCACAGAAAGACTAGAAAATCAGGCACATGAAGAAGAGAGTCTTTTTGGTTGTTTGTATAGAAATCTCAATGTCTTTGATGGCAGGGGGTACAAACAACAAGGAATTTCAGCCCAGTCTTACAAGGCATTGGGGTGACTGCCTCTGGACTCGCGTATTAAATAGTGATACATTCAGATTGGAAGAACCAGCCCCATAAGAAATGGTGACAGGGCATAGATCTTCCTATTGCTACGTAAAGTTCCTCAGCAGTGTAAACTCTTGGGTCCAGAAAAGAAAAAAAAAATCCTACTTTGTCCTTTTTGGAAAAGTCATATGAACAAAAGAGCACATTTTTTTTTAGAGTTTTGATTTAATTCAATGTGGTTGCAAATTCTATCCTTTCCACTTAAAAGTTATGTATTCTCCATTTCTCTGAATTTGTACCCCAATTTCAAATGGAAACAGTGATATTATACGGTTCACATTGGTACTATAGAAATTAGTGTGATGATATAAATTAAAGGCATTTAATTATGGGCCCCAAAATATCTATCTATCTATCTATCTTAGAATAAATGCTAGCTTTCATCATCCTCCAGTTTACAGCTAGTAGAAGTCCAGACACCAGTAATCTTAATAATGGTCAAGAAGGACATACCTTACCCTACCATGTCAATAAATAAACAAACTGAATTCCCCCAGCAAGATACCTGATAATATGTTGGG